CCATGGCACTGCTTCTGGCTTTTTTGTATGTCACGATGGGAAAATGGTGGGGGGCACTGACGCTTTTGCTCTCCATGGAACAGCCCTCAACTTATACATGGGTCATATCAAAGTCCATAACTTTGGCCTCAATAGCTGCCCCTGACTTATACAACAAGACGACTTATCCATGGGTATATAGGGTAAATATGGCAAAGAAGAAATACCATGTTTCATCACATAATAGTCGCACTTTTTCCCATGAAAAAGAGATGCGACTATTATGTGAAGAAAAAAATCTGGTGTTTTTTTTGTGTGTGTTGTAAAATAAAATATATATAACGCTTTAGCTCCAAATTGGAAGGAAGGGGAGGGATGATCCTGAGAAAACCCCTACAAATGCTTGACGTGCCACAAGAACTTCAGATCTGGCTTCCCATCTGAGGATCCACACGGGGGAGAAACTGTATAAATGCTGGGAGTGTGGAAAGCACATCAGCAATTGAAGCACCGTGTGTTGCCATCAGAGAACCCACACGGGCCAAAAGCCATTCAAATGCTTAGGAAGTGGCAAGACCTGTAGGAATAGCACAGAGCTTCCTTTACAGAGTACAAGTCAATGAGGTGAAAATTATCCTATATCTTGTCTGTAATCAGATAATAAAGATTTCTGAGCTTGATCCCTGAGTTTGATCTTGGCTGGTTGTCCAAGGATGAGTTAGATTTCAAATATAACAAATAATCATCAGGCTGCTGTATTTTGGACCAGCTGGAGTTTCCGAACTTGGTACAAAAGTTGGTATGAACTTGGTACACAAAGTCCAGCCTTGTGGTTACAAACGTTTGCCCCACCATCTTCAGGTCCTGAGGAAAAGGTGCAACTTGCATATCAGCCAAAGCTGGCAGTAAGCACTCCTGACTGTGGCATCTACCTGGGCTGACATTTGGAAAGACGGATCTAGGAACACCCCAAGCTGTGAGCACAGAACTAATACTTTTGAATAGTGATGATTTTTATCTCACGTTTCTTTGGATGTAATATGCTCCGGCACAGGGAGTAATGCAGTAAACGTGATTCATCCATTTCCTTTGTGATTCTAGATACAGAGATACAGCTATTCCTGGGTCTGGTTGCTGATTCTTTCCACTAACGTTGCTCTTTATCTGGGGGTGCATCTACATTGTAGGATTAATGCAGTTTGGCATCTGTTTCACTACCATGGGTCAATGGTATGGGATCGCGTATGCCATCTAATAAACTGGACACTTCCCTTCTTCTCAACATGTTTTCTCTCTCTCTCTCTCTCTGCCCTTTAAAACAAATTTCTTTTGTATTTTATTTACATCCTTATTTATTTTCAGTCCCACCTTTCTCCACATGTAGAATGTAGAATCATAGAGTCCAACCCCCTGCCAAGAAGCAGGAACATTGCACTCAAATCACCCCTGACAGATGGCCATCCAGCCCCTGTTTAAAAGCTTCCAAAGAAGGAGCCTCCACCACACTCCGGGGCAGAGAGTTCCACTGCTGAACGGCTCTCACAGTCAGGAAGTTCTTCCTCATGTTCAGGTGGAATCTCCTCTCTTGTAGTTTGAAGCCATTGTTCCATGTCCTGGTCTCCAAGGAAGCAGAAAACAATTTTGCTCCCTCCTCCCAGTTTAAAAAGAGCTATATCCTCTCGTTCGAATCTTAATCCGTTTCATCGTCTTGGCCGTTCCTGGGTCATTCTTCATCTCAAGCTTGACTATTTATTCCGGGGTTCTGAATGCTTGCTCGAACAGCCAAGTTTTTACTCTCTTCCGAAAAGTTAGGAGGGAGGGGGCTGATCTAATATCCCTAGGCAGGGAGTTCCACAGCCGAGGGGCCACCACAGAGAAGGCCCTGTCTCTTGTCCCTGCCAAGCGTGCTTGCGAAGCAGATGGGATCGAGAGCAGGGCCTCCTCAGACGATCTTAACTTCCTGGAGGGTTCGTAGGAAGAGATGCGTTTGGATAGGTAGGCTGGGTAATGTTCCTTTGTGGGATTAACATTACTCAAAAACTACTACACGTATTGCCACCAAATTTGGCCACAAGACACCTACTAACCCAAGGAGCGACCATCACTCAAAAAATGATTTTGTCACTTGGGAGTTGTAGTTGCTGGGATTTATAGTTAACCTACAATCAAAGAGTTCTGAACTCCACCAACACAGATGGAGTTAACCAAACATAGTACACAGGACTCTCATGACCAACAGAAAACACTAGAAGGGTTTGGTGGGCATTGACCTTGAGTTTGGGAGTTGTAGTTCACCTACATCCAGAGAGCACTGTGGACTCAAACAATGATGGATCTGGACCAAACTTGGTATGAATATTCCATATGCCCAAATATGAACACAGATGGAGTTTGGGGGAAATAGACCTTGACATTTGGGAGTTACGGGGATTTATAGTTCACCTACAACCAAAGAGCATTCTGAACTCCACCAACGACAGAATTGGGGCAGACTTCCCACACTGAACTCCCATAACCAACAGAAAATACTTAAGGCCATCCAGTCCAACTCCCTTCATCAGGCAAGAATAATCAAAGCCCTCCTGAACAAGAGCCATAGAGATAGATAGATTGATATGATTTACACACACAGAGAGATAGTATCATAGATTTGAAAGGGACCCCTAAAGAAGGACAATGATATGTTATGTTCCAGAGGAGGCAAACCAGACAATCTCCGTATCAACACTGACAAAGAAACAGCAAGAAATACTGTTTACCCTCAAACTTAAAACGACAGAGTGCGCAGCCCTAGACAAGCCCTGAAGAAGAATGGAGGCAATCTCCAACGTTCTTCCGGCAACAAATGACGCAAGACTAGGAGGGCGCCGCTGATTGGTCAAAGGGGGAGAGGGGGCGTGGCCAGCAAAGAGAAGGAAGCAGTTCTTTTCCAAACTGGGGGAAGAGGAGAGCTGGAAGGAAGGAAGGTAACGCGTTGCCTGCACTGTCGTTACTAGGAACTCGTTCCTTTTGGTAAGTAAGGGTGCAGTTTGGCCCCACTTTGGCATGCCATGGCTGAGTGGTATGGAGTCCTGGGAGATGTAGTTTGGGGAGAAGGAGGAGGAGGTTCAAGACCTTGTAGACACCACAACTCCCAGGACTCCCTAGCACTCAACCAGAGTAGTGGAAGTGGTATCAAACAGCTTTAATTCTGCCATTTAGATGGACTCCCAAGTTGCCTTTCCCAAGCCTGCTTGGTCATCATTAAGACAAGAATTCATCATGCTCAAACTGCATATAAAATTAGATAAAATAGTTGGTCTAGGACTTGTTATATCATGTAAGAAATCAGTTAGTGTGTGTGTAAAATAAGATGCACAAAGCTGATTGGCCGGGCTATGCCTGGGGAGCTGGCCGAGCCTGGGACTTTTGGATACTGTTATATTTTTCAGACTTATAGAATCATAGAGTTGGAAGAGACCTCATGGGCCATCCAGTCCAACCCCATTCTGCCAAGAAGCAGGAATATTGCATTCAAAGCACCCCTGACAGATGGCCATCCAGCCTCTGTTTAAAAGCTTCCAAAGAAGGAGCCTCCACCACACTCAGGGCAGAGAGTTCCACTGCTGAACATCTCTCACAGTCAAGAAATTCTTCCTCATGTTCAGGTGGAATCTCCTTTCCATAGAATCATAGAATCAAAGAGTTGGAAGAGACCTCATGGGCCATCCAGTCCAACCCCATTCTGCCAAGAAGCAGGAATATTGCATTCAAATCACCCCTGACAGATGGCCATCCAGCCTCTGTTTAAAAGCTTCCAAAGACGGAGCCTCCACCACACTCCGGGGCAGAGAGTTCCACTGCTGAACGGCTCTCACAGTCAGGAAGTTCTTCCTCATGTTCAGATGGAATCTCCTTTCTTGTAGTTTGAAGCCATTGTTCGCGTCCTAGTCTCCAGGGAAGCAGAAAATAATAATAATAATAATTAATAATAATTATTAATAATAATAATTATTATTATTATTATTTCGAGCGCTTCTACTCCACCCTTCTCAACCCCCTAGGGGGGACTCAGGGCGGCTTACAAAAGGCATAATTCGATGCCTAACAATTACAACATACAATACACAAAATACAATATAACAACAATTATAACTAGTTAAAACAATCAAATTAATACAATAGCAGCAATAAAATCATCTTGTGGTCAACATTCACCAATTCATAAATCCATAGTCCATCCAGCATTATCATAGTCCTTTCCTACTCTGGCTTACTCCCTCCTTGCTTGCTTGCTTGCTCCCTCCCCCCTGTGGCTTCCTCTCACATATTTATACATGGCTATCATATCTCCTCTCATCCTTCTCTTCTTCAGGCTAAACATGCCCAGCTCCTTAAGCCGCTCCTCATAGGGCTTGTTCTCCAGACCTTTTATCATTTTAGTTGCCCTCCTCTGGACACATTCCAGCTTGTCAATATCTCTCTTGAATTGTGGTGCCCAGAATTGGACACAATATTCCAGGTGTGGTCTAACCAAAGCAGAATAGAGGGGTAGCATTACTTCCCTAGATCTAGACACTATGCTTCTGTTGATGCTGGCCAAAATCCCATTGGCTTTTTTTGTCACCACATCACATTGTTTAACTTGTTGTCCACGAGGACTCCAAGATCTTTTTCGCACGTACTGCTCTCAAGCCAGGCATTGTCCCCCATTTTGTATCTTTGCATTTTGTTTTTCCTGCTAAAGTGGAGTATCTTGCATTTGTCCCTGTTGAACTTCATTTTGTCAGTTTTGGCCCATCTCTCCAATTTGTCAAGATAGTTTTGAATCTTGCTTGAGCTGTGCAGGAGCTTGTACAGAAGCGTAGTAAAGCAGCAGAGAGAAACAGTTTGGAGCAGGAGGTGATGGTATCCGCGCATCCGGAGGGACGACTGTAGTCAGAGTGCCTTCTCTTTTGGCCTATCCTGTATAATGGATGCTGCTTGACCCTGCTTTAACTGCCAGAATATATTGTGTTCTCATTTGTCTCGTTTCCCACCAGGGAGAAGATCCAGATAGAATAATAAGCCTCTGCTCATCCCAGCCTCGAAGAAGGACAATCGTTGGCTTTGTGTGCTGTTGAATTCCTCCTCCAACATGTTGGCAATCAAAGAGGAACCAGGAGAAGACCTTGACATCACCCCGGCTGGGAGTAGCAATGGCGGACCCTGGGGAATTGCTGGGGAGAAGACCCCCGAGGAGGATGCTCTTGGTCCTGATGTACAACCACGGCAATGCAAAATAGACCCAGAAGGAGAGGCCACTGAGGTTGAGCCGGACACCAAGCAGGGAGCACCCCTCCGGTGGGTGGTGAAGGAGGAAGGCAGTGGAAGTGCAATGGTGCTGAGCGAAAACGAATGGGGCCGACATCCTCTTCATCTCTCTTTCTCAGGTATTCCTAAGTCTGTCATTTCCACCTCCTCTTCCCTAAGTTAAGGAGGGAATATGGCTGAGTATGGTTTAGTGTGGAGACGGGAAAGCTTTTGTTGAATTTGATTCAGATATAGGTTCAAGAGCTCCTCTTTTAATCATTTAGCTTAATTTAGATTTGTGCCCCTTATAGTAGAACTGCATATTACACAAGGGATCAATTCCAGTATAACAACAACAACAACAGCAACACTTTATTTAAATTCCGCCCTATCTCCCCAAGGGGACTTAGGTCAGATCACAGTTTGATAAACTTTAATCAAAAACTGAACATATCTTTGTTAAGCTTAATAGTAACGATGAATTAAGAGTACTAAAAAACATTTTAATTAAATTCGGTTTGCTGCCAAGGACACAATTACAATATATAATATAAAAAACATCAACAACAATAAAATCAAACATTATAATGAAACATACTTCAATCGATAATCATTAAAACAATGTCCAGTTCCGCCATATAGTTATTCCATTATTATATCTGTTACTCAGTATTTTCAAATGCCCGCTCAAATAGCCATGTCTTAAGATTCTTCCGGAATGATATGAGCGAGGAAGCCGATCTAGTCTCCCTAGGAAGGGCATTCCATAGCCAAGGGGCCACCACTGAGAAGGCCCTGTCTCTCGTTCCCACCAACTGTAGTTGTGATGGTGGTGGGACCAAGAGCAGGGCATCTCCAGATGATCTTAAAGTCCTTGCAGGTTCATAAGGGGAGATTAATTCGGACAGGTAAGTTGGTTTCCTTTTAAAGTTTATGGATTATCTTGGATTTTTACTTTTACTGTTTTCCTTTTTTTTACTGCTTTGCCTACATATATTTTACAATAAACTGCTTGCTGATTTTACCAAGCTCATGTGGTGTTTCAAGTCAGAGGTGTTCCTGCTCTGGAATCCTTTGGGCAGGTTTATTTTATATATTATATTCTTAGGCTGAGTGGATATATGTTGCTGGGGGTATTGCCCCAAGACAACCAAACTTTATAACACCAACCAATCGTAACATTTGCTCTGTCTGGAAGAGCCAATAATGAAACTGAAATGGGTGGCATATAATAAGTAGCCAGCGTGTTGTACTGGTTTGATCATTAGTCTATGACTATGGAAACCAGGATGCATCAAGAACATCAAGAAGGATCTAATACAGGCATGGGCAACTTTTGGCCCTCCAGGTGTTGTGGACTTTGACTCCCACATTTCCTAACAGCCTACTGAATTGTGGGAGTTAAAGTCCAAAACACCTGGAATTACAAAGTTTGCCCAAGCCTCATGTAATAGCCCACCAGGGTGCATCTACCCTGTAGCATTAAAGCAGTTTGACACCAGTTTAGCTGCCGTGGCTCAATGCTATGGAATCCTGGCCGTTGTAGTTTGGTGTAGCACAATCATACTTTGGCAGATTTATTTATTTATTTATTTACAGTGTGCTTATATTCTGCCCTTCTCACCCCAAAGGGGACTCAGAGCGGATCACAGAACACATATACGGCGAGCATTCAATGCCGATTATACAATGACAAGATAGACAACAGATAGAGGTATATTTAGGCTTTTTCTCATCATTCGGCATCTTTGGAGGCTGTGCTCGTTTCTGGCACAGGGGGGTGCTGTAGCTCCATCTCCTTACCGAAGAGCTTTCTTTGTTCGTAAACTTTTCTCTGAAATGCCATGCCTAAAATACCTCCCCACTTAATTCAATTCCTATTCATCTACTCACATTGCTGTTTTCAATCCACTAGATGGGTGGGGAGCTGGGCTGAAGGTCAGGAGCTCCCCCAGATCTGGCTTAAAACTGTCAACCTTTCGGATGGCAAGATTTGCTACAGCTGGCGATTAACCGGCTGTGCTAAAGTCAGTCCCAGCAGAGTTCTACTGCTGTTGCTCTTACAGTCAGGAAGTTTTCCCTAATGTTCAGGTGGAATCTTTTTTCCTGTAATATGAACCCATTGCTCTGAGTTGTCATTGTAAGATGAGGTTTTTGTAACACTACAACTCCCAAGAGTCCACGGCATTGAGCCATGGCAGTTGAAGCAGTGTCAGAAAGCAGTCATTCTGCAAGTTTTAGGAAGGGGGCTGAAGCCAGAGGCAGTGATGTAACCTTTCACTAATTAAATACTCCTTTTACTTTATGTTCCAGGCAAAGATGGGCACCTTGATATGCAGAAAGGAACCTACACAGGAGAGAAACCGTATAAATGCCTGGAATGTGGAAAAACCTTCACTGAGAGGGCGAGCCTTCGAGCGCACAGAGGAATACACACAATCAAAAAAATATGTAAATGTGTGGCATGTGGGAAGAGCTTCAATGTGAGAGGAAACATTGATATACATACAAAATTCCACACAGGAGAGATACCATTTAAATGTGTGGAGTGTGCAAAGAGCCTTGGTGAGAAAGGGGAATTTAATGAGCAGAAAAAAACCCACATGGGAGAAAAACCGCATAAATGCTTGGAGTGTGGAAAGTCCTTCACTGAGAATTCGAGCCTTACAGTGCACAAAAGAATCCACACAGGAGAGAAACCATATGAATGCCTGGAGTGTGGAAAGCGCTTCCGTACGAAATGGAATCTTAATGAACACGAAAGAACCCACACGGGAGAAAAACCATATAAATGCTCTGAGTGTGGAAAGACCTTCACAGGGAGTGCATACCTCAAAGTGCACAGAAGGATCCACACAGGAGAGAAACCATATAAATGTGTGGAATGTGGAAAGAGCTTTGTTGATCGGGGGAGACTTATTGCGCATGAAAGAACCCACATGAAAGAGAAACCATATAAATGCCTGGAGTGCGGAAAGCGCTTCCGTGAGAGAGGAAACCTTGATGAACATACAAAGACCCACACAGGAAAGGAACCATATAAATGTGTGGAGTGTGGAATGTGCTTCAGTGTGAGAGAAAGCCTTCATGTGCATGCAAGAACCCACACTGGGGAGACATCATACACATGTGTGGAGTGTGAAAAGAGCTTCAGTACGAGATGGAAACTTAACGTGCACAAAAGAACCCACACAGGAGAAGAACCGTACAAATGTGTGGATTGTGGCAAGGCCTTCACTGCAAGGGCAAGCCTTAAAATGCACAGAAGAATCCACACAGGAGAGAAACCATATAAATGCCAGGAGTGTGGAAAGAGCTTCCGTATGAAAGACTTTCTGACTAAGCATAATAGAATACACACAGGAGAGAAACCATACAAATGTGTGGAATGTGGAAAGGGCTTCAGTGTGAGGTGGAGACTTACTGTGCATGAAAGGAGACACAGGAAGGAGAAACCCTATAAATGCCTGGAGTGCGGAAAGAGCTTTTGCCAGAAATCAGATCTTTCGTCCCACCAAAGAATCCACATGAAGAAACAAACCTAAATGTTTGGTGCGTGGAAGGAATTTCTCCCGAAGGCTTCCAGGCACCAGATGTAGTTTGGGAATCAAGAAAGATCCCCTGTGTATACAGATATGTTTGTTAACAAAATTAACCCTGAAACCCTGGGTAGACTTACTCATTGAACAATGTGAGTACTGTACCTTAACCCTTGTAAAAATGGAATCATTCCCCTTTAGGCCTGTTTGATTAAAAAAAATGGTTTTAAACTTGTTTCGGATATTGTGGTTTGATTCTGAAGTCAATTCTGATTTTTACCCCCCAAAAATGTTCAAAACTTTTCAAAACTTCCAAGTCCTTTCGTTAATGGTTTGAAAGTGTTATTTCCTATTTCATTGGGTGGTCTTTACTTTGAAAGTAGTTGTTTTACTCCAGGAGTGGGGAAAAGCAAGCGGAGGAAAATCATTCCTTCTCCGGTTTAAAACTGGCTTCTCTGGCTTGTGCCAGAAGAGGGAAAAGCAAAGGGAGGAAATTCACCCTCCTCCGGTTTAAAACTGTCTTCTCTAGCTTGAGCCAGATGGGGAGAAAGCAAAGGGAGGAAATTCACCCTTCTCTGGTTTAAAACTGTCTTCTCTGGCTTGTGCCAGAAGAGGGAAAAGCAAAGGGAGGAAATTCACACATCTCTGGTTGAAAACTGGTTTCTCTAGCTTGAGCCAGACGAGGGAAAAGCAAAGGGAGGAAATTCACCCTTCTCCGATTTTAAACTGGCTTCTCTAGCTTGAGCCAGAAGAAGGAAAAGCAAGCAGAGGAAATTCCTTCCTTCTCTGGTTTAAAACTGACTTCTCTGACTTTAAAACTGGGTTCCCTGGCTTGAACCGAGGCCAGGGACCAGAGGCCTCGTCCAGAAGCAGGGAAAAGCTGAATCATTTCCAACTCATTTCATGAATCGTAACAAAAATTGCGGAAAAAGCTTCGGAAGAGCAAAGGGACTTCCAGTTTTCTTTAAAAGTTCAAAATCATTTCCAAAAGATAATTTTTCTAACTTTATTCTGAATAATTAGGATTTTGTCTGGACCTAACCATGCCTATTCCCCTTCTTTGAATGATGGGTGAAAGGCATGAGATTTGTCCATCTCAGAGGAACCTAAAAGAGGCATCCAGTCCTTCTACTTTCTTTGCCAATAATAATAATAATAACAACAACAACAATATTTATATACTGCTCTATCTCTCCGAGGGGGACTCAGGGTGGTTTCCAAGTAACATCACCAAAACATACAGCGTAAACAGCATAATATAAAATTAGCAAAACAACATAAGCATAAAATTCCCACAATAACACATATATTAAAAATAATCCTGCCTGTTCAGAGCAATTAAAAGGCTGGGCCGAGGCTAGTGCAAACTCAACATATGAGGGGACCAGGAATTAAGTACAGTCCATAACTTCGGCCTCAAAATCTGCCCTTAAATAATTCAATAAGTCAATTTATCCATGAGTATATAGGGGAAACATGGCAAGGAAGAAAATACCATATTTCATTGCATAATAGTCACACTTTTTCCCACGAAAAAAGAAGGTGCGACTATTATGTGAAGAAAAAAATCTGGGGGGTTTTGTGTGTGTGTGTGTGAGTGTGTTTTAAATGACATACCTTAGCTCCAAATTGGGAGGAAGAGAAGGGATGATTCAGAGAAACGCTCACACGGGTCAAAAGCCATTCAGATGCTTGGAAAGTGGCACGGCCGGTAGGAATAGCACAGGGCTTCCTTTACATCGCATAAGTCAATGCGGTGAAAATGATCCTATATCTGTACAAACTATATAAGGAGCACACAACTCCCATGTTACATCTGTTTGCTGCCTGTTTGCTACAGAGCACAGAGCAAGATACGGAGTTGAGACTGCTCTGGTCACCTTCATGGATGATCATGGATGATCTTCTTGACACTGACATGGGATTTGTGTCCCTGTTGGGGCTTCTGGATATCTTAGCAGCATTCAGTACCATCAACCATGGTATCCTCGTGGGATTTGGGAATTGGAATCTTTCTGGGGTTGGGGATGAAGTTCCATGGAGAAATGAAGTTCAACGGGGACAAATGCAAGATACTCCACTTAGGCAGGAAAAACGAAATGCAAAGATACAGAATGGGGGACAATGCCTGGCTCGAGAGCAGTACGTGTGAAAAAGATCTTGGAGTCCTCGTGGACAACAAGTTAAACATGAGCCAACAATGTGATGTGGCGGCAAAAAAAGCCAATGGGATTTTGGCCTGCATCAATAGAGCATAGTGTCTAGATCTAGGGAAGTAATGCTACCCTCTATTCTGCTTTGGTTAGACCACACCTGGAATATTGTGTCCAATTCTGGGCACCACAATTGAAGAGAGATATTGACAAGCTGGAATGTGTCCAGAGGAGGGTGACTAAATGATCAAGGGTCTGGAGAACAAGCCCTATGAGGAGCGGCTTAAGGAGCTGGGCATGTTTAGCCTGAAGAAGAGAAGGCTGAGAGGAGATATGATATCCATGTATAAATATGTGAGAGGAAGCCACAGGGAGGAGGGAGCAAGCTTTCTGCTTCCCTGGAGACTAGGACACGAAACAATGGCTTCAAACTACACGAAAGGAGATTCCATCTGAACATGAGGAAGAACTTCCTGACTGTGAGGGCCATTCAGCAGTGGAACTCTCTACCCCGGAGTGTGGTGGAGGCTCCTTCTTTGGAAGCTTTTAAACAGAGGCTGGATGGCCATCTGTCAGGGGTGATTTGAATGCGATTTCCCTGCTTCTTGGCAGGGGGTTGGACTGGATGGCCCATGAGGTCTCTTCCAACTCTTTGATTCTATGATTCTCTGCTCTGGAGTGTGGTGGAGGCTCCTTCCTTGGAGGATTTTTAGCAGAGGCTGGATGGCCATCTGTTGGGAGTGTTTTGAATGCGATTTCCCTGCTTCTTGTCAGAATGGGGTTGGACTGGATGGCCCATGAGGTCTCTTCCAGCTCTAGGATTCTATAAGAAGCAGAATGGGGAGAGAAAGGCTGGCTGGGCTTGCCCTCTTGAGTGCCCTCTTTGATTGCTGTCAAAGTGTTAGTGTGTTCTCTTTTTGCTGGCCCAGAAAGGGTTAAAATGACAGAGTGGGCAGCCCTAGAGAAGAGGGGAGGGAACCCTAAACGTCACTTCCGGGGATGCCCCACTCAATCAGAAGCTGGAGAGAAAGAAGCACATTGGCAGGAGTTCTTCCGTCAACAAATGACGCAAGACTAGGAGGGCGCCGCTGATTGGTCAAAGGGGGAGAGGGGGCGTGGCCAGCAAAGACAAGGAAGCAGTTCTTTTCCAAACTGGGGGAAGAGGAGAGCTGGAAGGAAGGAAGGTGATGGGTTGCTTGCAGTGTCGTTACTAGGAACGAGTTCCTTTTGGTAAGTAAGGGTGCAGATTGGCCCCACTTTGGAATGCCATGGCTGAGTGCTGTGGAGCCCTGGGAGATGTAGTTTGGGGAGAAGGAGGAGGCTCAAGACCTTGTAGACACCACAGCTCCCAAGACTCCATAGCACTCAGCCAGGGCAGTGGAAGTGTTATCAAACCGGTTTAATTCTGCCATGTAGATGCACTCTCAAGTTGCATTTCTCAAGCCTTCTTGATCATCATGTAAGCATCATTAAGACAGGAATGGATCATGCTCATACTGTATATAACATTAGATAAAATAGTTGGTCTAGGACTTGGAGCATGTAAGAAATCAGTTAGTCTCTCTGTGTGTGTCAACTGTAAAATAAGAGGCACGAAGCTGATTGGTTGGGCTATGCCTGTGAGAGCTAGCTGAGCCTGGGACTTTTGCATACTGTTACATTTTTCAAGCTTGAGCTGTGTAGGTGCTTGCAGAGAAGCCTAGTGAAGCAGCAGAGAGGTCACAGTCCCTCAAACTCTTGGAGGGCCAGAATATAATTTGGAAAAAGCACGAATGTATTCCTATGCCCACTGAATATATCTTATTTGCAGTGCAAAGCAAACACTTTAAAACAATACAATAATTAAAATGAAGAACAATTTTAACAGATATAAACTTATTCATATTTCAATGGGAAATGTGGGCCTGCTTTTGGCTAATGAGATAGGATTGTTGTTGTTGTGTGCTTTCAAGTCGTTTCAGACTTAGGTTGACCCTGAGCGAGGGCCGAGTAAATGACCTTGGGGGGGCGTATCTAGCCCCCGGGCCTTAGTTTGAAGACCCCTGGTTTAGAGTGTTCTCTTGCTTCGTGAGCTGCTGGAGGATGATTTTCCAAATGGATTGGTTGGACTATGCCCAGGGAGCTGGCTGAGTCTGGGACTTTTGGATACTGTTACATTTTTCAGGCTTGAGCTGTGTGGGTGAAGCAGCAGAGAAAGACAGTTTAGAGTGTGCTCTTGTTTCATGAGCTGCTGGAGGAAGGCTTTCCAAATGGATTGGTCGGACTATGCCCAGGGAGCTGGCTGAGCCTGGGACTGCAACTGATCATATGATTGTAAATATATTGTTCTGAATGAAGAGTAAACTATTTGTTCTTTATTGAGCATCTGTGTGGCATATTTTCCTTCTGTGGCAAGGCAGCATGTGGGCTGATCAAATGTGAACTATGCATGATTTTCATTTAGCCACAGGACTCAAAGGAGGTGATGGCGTCTGCGAATCCAGAGGTTTGAGTGTAGTCAGAGTGCCTTCCCTTTTGGCCTTGGGTGTCTCTCTATCCTGTAGAATGGATGCAGCTTGACCCTGCTTTAACTGCCAGAATATATTTTGTTCTCATTTGTCACATTTCCCACCAGAGAGAAGATCCAGAGAGAACAATAAGTCTCTGCTCATCCCAGCTTCAAAAGAGGACAATCCGTTGGCTTTGTGTGCTGTTGAATTCCTCCTCCAACATGTTGGCAATCAAAGAGGAAGCAGGAGAAGACCTTGACGTCACCCCAGCTGGGAGTAGCAATGGCGGACCCTGGGGAATTGCTGTGGAGAAGACCCCCGAGGAGGACGCTCTTGGTCCTGATGTAAAGCCAGAGCAATGCAAAAAAGAACCAGGAGAAGACCTTGATGTCACCCCGGCTGGGAGAAGCGATGGCGGACCCTGGGGAATTGCTGGGGAGAAGACCCCCGAGGAGTATGCTCTTGGTCCTGATGTAAAGCCAGAGCAATGCAAAATACCCCCGGCAGGAGAGACCAATGAGGTTGTGCCGGGCACCAAGCAGGGAGCACCCCTCCGGTGGGTGGTGAAGGAGGAGGGCAACGGAAGCGCAACGGTGCTGAGCGAAAACGAATTGAGCCTACATCCTCTTCATCCTTCTTTCTCAGGTATCCCTAAGCCTGTCATTTTCATCTCCTTTTCCCTAGATTAAGGAGGGAGTATGGCTGAGTATGGTTTAGATTGGAGACAGAAAAGCATTTGTCGAAGTTGATACAGATATAGGTTCAAGAGCTCCTCCTTTAATCATTTAGCTTAATTTTGATTGTTATCCCTTACAGTAGTACTGCATATTACAGAAGGGCTCTATTCCAGTAGAATAACAATAATAGTAATAACAATAATAATAACAACAATAACAACACTTTATGTATATTCCACCCTATCTCCCTAAGGGGACTCAGGGCGGATCACAGTACACATACATGACAACCATTCAATGCTGTTTTGGACAGACAGGACAGAGACAGACAGAACAGAAAGGAGGTATGTTGTGACGACATCCAGCTTTTTGGCACCTTGGAGGTTGTGCTCGAATCCAGACACCGGGGGGGGGGGGGGGGGGGGGGGGGGGGGGGGGGGGGGGCAGGGTGCTGTCGCTCCATTCTCCATGATGAAAAGCCATCAGGACTTCATGGAATATAATTTTTGCATATACAGGCAATCCCCAAGTTATGAAAAATATTCATAAAATATATTCTTAAGTATGTAAGTCAGAACAGGTAATTTCTAATGTACCTCCAACCTATCTATCTATCTATCTATCTATCTATCTATCTATCTATTAATATATCATCTATCTATCTATATAAGTGGCTCCCTTTTTATCACCAGGGACCACTTTGATTTTTTGTTGTTGTTGTTAGCAGGGACCACAAGGTTCAAGAATAGTAAACTATGTTAATCTAAAAAAAACAAAAACCTTTAATCAAAAATTTAACATATATTTGTTAAACTTAATAGTAACATGAATTAAGAATACTATTATAATATTAGAAAGGACATTTTAAATAGAAAATTAAATTTGGTTTGCATCCATGTGAGCTTTGAGGTTGCGTCTTCTTTACAAGTTGGGTAATACTGGGGCTAATATTATTGCTGAAAGAAGCAGGAAGGAAAGAGAACGGAAAGGGAAGCGAGGGAAGGAAGAAAGGAACAAGGAAGGAGGGAGGGAAGCAAGAAGGGATGGAGGGCTGGAGAGAGGGAAGGAAGGAAGGAAGCGAGGAAGGAGGGAGAGGAGGAAGGAAGAAAAGAAGGAGGGAAGCAAGGAGGGAGGCAAGGAAGAAAGGGAAGTGACTGAGGGAGGGAAAGAGGAAGGGAAGGAAAGAAGGAAGAGAGCAAGGAAGGAATGAGGGAGAAGAGGAAAAAAGGAAGGAAGCAAGGAAAGCAAGGAGGGAGGCAAGGAAGAAAGGGAGGAAGGCATGGGACCGATGGAGGGAGAGAGTAAGGGAAAGAGAAGGGAAGGGAACAAAGAAGAAGGAGGGAGGCAAGGAAGAAAGGAGTTGTAGTTTGGCACAGAACAACTCTGGGAGTTGTAGTTTGGCACAGAACAATCACACTTCAATAGAGGAGGTTCTTGTAACACTACAACTCCCAAGAGTCCACGACATTGCACCATGGCAGTTGAAGTGGTGTCGAAGAAGGAGGGAAGTAAGGAGGGAGGCAAGGAAGAAAGGAAAGAGACTGAGGGAGGGAAAGAGGAAGAGAAGGAAGGAAGGAAGGAAGAAAAGATCAAGGAAGGAATGAGGGAGAGGAGGAAAAAAGGAAGCAAGGAAAGCAAGGAGGGAGGCAAGGAAGAAATGGGACTGATGGAGGGAGAGAGTAAGGGAAAGAGAACGGAAAGAAGGGAACAAAGAAGAAGGAGGGAGGCAAAGAAGAAAGTGAGGAAGGGAGCAAGGAGGGAGAGAAGGGAGAAAAGAAGGGGGAGAGAGAGGAAGGGAAAGAAGGAAACGAGGACGAGTGGGACTAAGGGAGCAAATTGAACTACCCTGGCTCGGTGCGATGGCATCAATGCTGTGTAATTCTGGGAGTTGTAGTTTGGCACGGAACAATCACACTTCAACAGAGGAGGTCCTTGTAACACTACAACTCCCAAGAGTCCACGACATCGAACCATGGCAGTTGAAGTGGTGTCGAAGAGCAGTCATTCTGCAAGTTTTAGGAAGGGGGCTGAAGCCAGAGGCAGTGATGTAACCATTCACTATTGAAATACTCCTTTTGCTTTATGTTCCAGGCAAAGATGGGAGCCTTGATATGCAAAAAGGAACCAACGCAGGAGAGAAACCATATAAATGTCTGGAATGTGGAAAAACCTTCACTGAGAGGGCAAGCCTTAGAGCGCACAGAGTAATGCACACAATCAAAAAAATATGTAAGTGTGTGGAGTGTGGAAAAAGCTTCAGTGTGAGAGGAAACCGTGATGTACATACAAAACTCCACACAGGAGAGATAGCATTTAAATGTGTGGAGTGTGGAAAGAGCCTCGGTGCGAAAGGGGAACTTAATGTGCAGAGAAGAACCCACACAGGAGACAGACCATTCAAATGTCTGGAGTGTGAAAAGAGCTACAGTACACAATGGAAACTTAATGAGCACAAAAAAACACACATGGGAGAAAAACCGCATAAGTGTGTGGACTGTGGAAAGTCCTTCACTGAAAGTTCAAGCCTTAAAGTGCACAGAAGAATCCACACAGGAGAGAAGCCATATAAATGCCAGGAGTGTGGAAAGAGTTTCACGGTGAGAGGACACCTTACTGAGCATATAAGAACCCACACAGGAGAGAAACCATATAAATGCCAGGAGTGCGGAAAGGGCTGCGCTACAAGATGGAAACTTAATGAGCACAAAAGAACCCACACGGGAGAAAAACCGTATAAATGTTTGGATTGTGGAAAGACCTTCACTGGGAGTTCATACCTCAAAGTGCACAGAAGACTCCACACAGGAGAGAAACCATATAAATGTGTGAAATGTGGAAAGAGCTTCAGTGCAAGGACAAATTTTATTGTGCATGAAAGGACCCACATGAAAGAGAAATGATATAAATGCCTGGAGTGCGGAAAGAGCTTCCGTGAAAGAGGAAGCCTTAATGTCCATACAAGGACCCACATGGGAGGGAAACCACATAAATATGTGGAAGAGTTTCAGTGCAAGGGGGGGGGGGGCAAAAGCAATTCAGGTAAAAGCAATTAAGGGTGGAGGTATGCAGGGGATAGGTTGCAGCTGGGTGTTACTGGATTTAAGGAGCTAACCTTGAGACTGATCTTTGGGAGAAAAGTATCTGTTGCATTTTGGTGGTGGATGCTGCTGGTCTTTCCCCCAGGTCTTTTGGATTTTCGGTATCCTGACCTGTCTCCTGTAATTTTGGAACCCTTGAACCTTTGGACTGGCTTTTGACTATGGTATAGACCAGGGGTCCTCAAACTTTTTAAACAGAGGGCCAGGTAACAGTCCCTCAAAGTGTTGGAGGGCCGGATTATAATTTGAAAAAAGAATGAATTCCTATGCACACTCAACATATCTTATTTGTAGTGCAAAAACACTTTAAAACAATAAAATAATTAAAATGAAGAACAACTTTAAAAATATAAATTTATTAGTATTTCAATGGGAAGTGTGGGCCTGCTTTTGTCTGATGAGATAGGATTGTTGTTGTTGTTGTTGTTGTTGTTGTTGTGTGCTTTCAAGTCGTTACAGACTTAGGTTGACCCTAAGCGAGGGCCGGGTAAATGACCTTGGAGGGCCGCATTCGGCCCCCGGGCCTTAGTTTGAGGACCCCTGGTATAGACTCTTGATCCCTGGACTCTGTTATTGAACTCTCAGCGTTTGACCACTGGAATGGAACCTTTTGACTACAAAATTATTTTTGCTATCAGTTTTTATTTATTCTGTAGCTGAGTGCTATCTTTGTTTTATATTTTGGACTATTAAAACAGCCAGCAAGTAAGTGCTGTTTTAATTAAACTGTTTGATAAAACCGGGAGTTTGATTCATCTCTACCTAAATAAGGCAGAGCCCTGGCAACGTGACACCCTCGACTTATACTTGGGTCATATCAAAATCCATAACTTTGGCCTCAAAGCTGCCCCTGGCTTATACAATAACTCAAATTATCCATGATTATATAGGGGAAATATGGCAAAGAAGAAGAAATACAGTGTTTTGTCGCATAATAGTCACACTTTTTCCCATAAAATAGAGATGCGACTATTATGTGAAGAAAAAACCTGGTGGTTTTTGTGTGTGGTTTGTAAAATAAAAATTATGTTCCTGAGAGAAATCCTACAAATGCTTGAAATGCCACAAGAGCTTCAGACCTGGCTTCCCATCTGAGAAATTGTATGAATGCCTGAAGTGTGGAAAGCATGTCAGCTATTGAAGCACCTTCTGTTGCCTTCTGGCTTTTTTGCATGTCCTGGTGGGAAAATGGTGGTAGGCAGTGGTGTAATGTAAAATAAACCATGTGTAGTTCACGTTTCATCAGTCCACACACTGTCTTGTCAGAGGAAGAAAATATGCCACACAGATGATCAATAAAGAACAAGTAGTTTACTCTTCGTAATTCAGAACCACCTATTTACAATCATGAGAACAATTGCATCGACTCCCATAATGTCCTTTTAGACAGATTTCAAATGGTTTTTCTTTGTCCATGTGGAAAATATTCCCTCAGCAGCTCATGAAGCAAGAGCACACTCCAAACTGTCTCTCTCTGTCTCTCTGCAAGCACTTGCATAGCTCAAGCCTGAAAAATGTAACAGTAACCAAAAGTCCGAGGCTCAGCTAGCTCCCTGGCCAATCAGTTTCGTGCTTCTTATTTTACAGTTGATACACACACACACACATGAACTGATTTTTTACATGCTCCAACATTGGTATTGGAACGCATCTTCCCCTATGAACCATTGTGGAGATTAAGATCCTCCGGGGAGGCCCTGCTTTCCGTCCCGCCATTGTCGCAGGTACGATTAGTGAGGACGAGAGACAGGGCCTTCTCAGTGATTGCTCTCCGGCTATGGAACTCCCTTCCTGGTGAGACTAGGTCAGCCTCCTCCCTCCTGTCCTTTAGAAGGATGGTAAAAACTTGGCTGTGGGACCAAGCTTTTGGGACAGGGCAATAAAGCAGCGATAGGAATGATGACCAGGCCAGTTAAATTTGTTGTACCAGCTCCACTGTTGTACCAGCTCCACTGGCTGCCGATTTGCTACTGGGCTCAATTCAAGGTGCTGGCGTTGGCCTATAAAGCCTTAAACGGTTCCGGCCCAAGATACCGCATCTCGACCTACGAGCCCACCAGGACTTTGAGATCTTCCGGGGAGGCCCTGCTCTCGATCCCGCCTGCTTCACAAGCACGGCTGGCGGGGACGAGAGATAGGGCCTTCTCGGTGGTGGCTCCTCGGCTGTGGAACACCCTTCCCATGGACATTAGACTGGCTCCTTCCCTGATGATATTCCGCAGGAAATTAAAGACTTGGTTGTTCAAGAAGGCGTTCGAACAAGAAGTGCAATGATTGGTAATGACTATAGGAATGGAACAACAGAAATGATACTGGATTGTGGTTTGGACGATGAGACGACGCTGAATGGTTTTCGTAGTAATGACGATGTTTTTGTATAATGTGTATAATGGATTGTGAATTGTTTTTATACTGTGTTTTGAATTTTGTTCTTCCTATGTTGTACACCGCTGTGAGTCGCCCCTGGGCTGAGAACAGCGGTATATAAGCAAAGTAAATAAATAAATAAATTTGATGTGGATGACTAGGACGGTTTTAAATTGTGTATTTTAATATTTTGATAAATGTTTTTAATGTTTATGTATGTATATAAGAATTTGTGTCCCTTCGGGGTGAGAAGCTCAGAATATAAATGTTTTAAATAATTAAAATAAAATAAATTATTTATTTATTTATTTACCTTACTTATATACCGGTTTTCTCAGCCCGAAGGCGACTCACAGCGGTTCACAACAAATATGAACAGCAAAAATTCAGTGCTACAGTATAGAAACAGTAACAACCTAACACATTACACAATTAATAAACAGTTACTACAATACCCATTCACTGTCGTCTCGTCATCAAAAACATGTTCCAGATTCGTCATCCATTGTTCCATTCCAGTGTTCATTAACCAATCATTGCACTAATTATTGGAACGCCTGCTCAAACAGCCAGGTCTTCACCTTTTTGCGGAATACCATTAGAGATGGTGCTAGTCTAATGTCCGTAGGAAGGGCGTTCCACAGCCGAGGAGCCACCACCGAGAAGGCCCTATCTCTCGTCCCCGCCAGCCGAGCTTGAGAAGCAGGCGGGATCGAGAGCAGGGTCTCCCCGGAAGACCTCAAACTCCTGGTGGGTTCATAGGCAGAGATGCGGTCGTAATATTACATATAATATAATATTACATATAATATAAAAGTAATATTACATATAATATAAAATATATAATTATCATATCATGTTATGATTAGTATTAGTATTATATTGTATTACATTATATATACAATATTATATGTATATACAATATATTATATTGTATTATTAGCATTATATATTATTTATATGTGTGTGTAGTATGTGTATATATATATATGTGTGTGTGTATGTATTTATATTTATATATATAGAGAGAGCCCTCAAACATGTTAATATATTCTAGTATTATTGTTGGTCCAGAAAGGGTTAAAATCACAGAGTGCACAGCCCTAGAGAAGAGGGGAGGGAATCCCCAACGTCACTTCCGGGGATGCCCCACTGAATCAGAAGGTGGAGAGAAAGAAGCACATTGGTAGGAGCTCTCCCCTCACGCGCTGCTGATTGGCCAGACGGGGAGCGGGGCGTGGCCAGCAAAGAAAAGCAAGAAAGGAGTTCTTTTTCCAAACTGGGGGAAGAGGAGAGAAGGAAGGAAGGAAGGTAACGCGTTGCCTGCAGTGTCGTTACTAGGAACTCGTTACTTTTGGTAAGTAAGGGTGCAGATTGGCCCCACTTTGGAATGCCATGGCTGGGTGGTATGGAGCCCTGGGAGATGTAGTTTGGGGAGAAGGAGGAGGAGGCTCAAGACCTTGCAGACACCACAACTCCCAGGACTCCCTAGTACTCAGCCAGGGCAGTGGAAAGTGGCATCAAACCGCGTTAATTCTGCTGTGTAGATGCACCCTCAAGTTGCATTTCTGAAGCCTGCTTGGTCATCATTTCAGCATCATGAGACAGGGAGGGATCAGGTTCATACTGTATAGAAATGGAGATAAAATAGTTTCCCAAGGCCTCAAAGGAGGCGTGCTTTTAAAAAAGAGGTCAAAGAGTTATTGGAAGATAGAACAAATCTATATAGAATATTTCAGCATGGGGAGAGGCAAGGTGTGTGCTGTGACTTTGTTGGATAGATAGATAGATAGATACTAGGTAGGTCTTGTGTTTACTTTCCTATCTCTTTCCAAAGCCATAGAAGATGGCTTTGAAAGGCAGCAGATCACAGGAGCTGTCTTTATAGACCTTTCAGAGGCTTATGATACTGTGAACCACTGCCGCCTCCTGTGAAAAATGTATAATATCACAAAGGACTACCACCTCACCCGCCTCATAGGAAACCTGCTACAAAACAGGAGCTTTTTTGTTGAGTTCCAGGGCCAGAGAAGCAGATGGCGGAAACAGAAGAACGGCCTGCCTCAGGGGAGCGTGCTTGCTCCATAGATGTTTCAACATTTACACAAATGACCAGCCACTGCCAGAAGCAATGGAGAGCTTCATCTATGCTGATGATCGTGCCATCAACGCTCAAACAGAGAGCTTTGATGTGGTTGAACAGAAGCTCTCTGAAGCTTGAAGTGCTCTTACTGCCTAATACAGGGAAAACCATCAATGTTTAACATTTACACAAATGATCAGCCACTGTCAGAAGGGACAGAGAGTTTCATCTATGCTGATGATCGTGCCATTACTGCTCAAGCAGGGAGCTTTGAAATGGTAGAACAGAAGCTCTCCGAAGCTGTAGGTGCTCCTACTGCCTATTACAGGGAAAACCAGCTGATCCCCAATCCATCTAAAACACAGACATGTGCCTTTCATCTCAGGAACAGAGAAGCATCCCGAGCTCTGAAGATCACCTGGGAAGGAATCCCACTGGAGCATTGCAGCACACCCAAATACCTGGGAGTCACTCTGGACCGTGCTCTTACCTACAAGAAGCACTGCCTGAACATCAAGCAAAAAGTGGGTGCTAGAAACAATATCATATGAAATCTGACTGGCACAACCTGGGGATCACAAGCAAATACAGTGAAGACATCTGCCCTTGCGCCATGCTACTCTGCTGCTGAGTATGCATGCCCAGTGTGGAACACATCTCAGCACGCTAAAACAGTGGATATGGCTCTGTAATGAGACATGCCGCATTATCACGGGGTGTCTGCGCCCTATACCACTGGAAAAATTACACTGTTAGCCGGTATTGCACCACCTGACATCCGCCGGGAAGTAGCAGCCAATAGTGAAAGGACCAAGGCAGAGACATCTCCAGCTCATCCCCTGTTTGGGTATCAGCCAGCACGTCAACGACTTAAATCAAGAAATAGTTTTCTTAGATCTACAGAGACACTCGCTGGAACACCTCAGCAAGCGAGAGGTCCAAAAGTGGCAGGCTCAAACCCAGAACCTCAACCAATGGCTGATACCAAATGAGAGACTCCCCCTGGGCACACAGAAGACTGGGCGACTTGGAAGGCGCTGAACAGACTGCGCTCTGGCACCACGAGATGCAGAGCCAACCTTCAGAAATGGGGCCACAAAGTGGAATCCACGACGTGCGAGTGTGGAGAAGAGCAAACCACTCTTCTCCACTCTTCTACGTTGGACATAAAAGCAACACACGCTACACTAAATATTTTACGACACCATTTCTATGTTTCCGATTTTCCGATCCATTTACGATTTCCAAATTCCCAATTCTACGATTATATTTCAATGTTTCCAAATGCATTGTTAAATCGAATTTTCCTAGATTTCGATTTATTTTCATGTTTTGCAATTTTATATCTTTCTGTTATAACTTCCTTTCTTCTTTTTTCCAGGGCAGTCAATCTGCTTTAGTTCACCCAAATAATGCCTCGCCGAAAAACAAACTTAGGTCGCTATAGTCGCTGTATGCAACTGAAGCGAAAAAGAGCTGCAAATCAAACCGAGGAAGAAAAGGCATCAGAATTGAAGCGAAGGAGACAACAATTGGCGAAAATACGTGCCAAGGAAACGCCAGAACGACGTGAAGCCAGGCTCGAGGAGGCACGGGTGCGAGCGCGGCAATATCGTGTTGCAGCTGCAGCGAAGCTTCGAAGTGAACAGAGAAAACTGGAGAGGCTGGAGAGGCAGAGACTGGCTGAACAACTTGAACGAGAAAAAGTGGCTCGGCGCCAAACCAGACTCCGTCCTCGGCGATCAAGGCCACCCCTACGGTGGGTGGTGAAGGAGGGGGAAAACGGAAGTGAGGTGGTGTTGAGCGAAAGCGAGTGGAGCCTCCCTTCTCTTCGTCCTTCTCTCTCAGGTATCCCAAAGTCTTGTCACCTGCATCACCCTTTCCTTAACTTAAGGAGGAAGTGCAAGATAGGTTCTGTAGATTGGGTCTTAAGTTGAATTTGTATCTAAGTCAAAACAAGGACATTTTTAATGTACCTCCAGCCTAGCTATCTGTCCGTCTATTTATCTATCTATGTATACTTCATTTACTTAGGCCAGTGGTTCTCAACCTGGGGGTCGGGACCCCTGTGGGGGTCGCCAGGGGGTGCCAGAGGGGTCACCAAAGACCATCAGGAACCACAATATTTTCTGTTGGTCATAGGGGTTCTGTGTGGGAAGTTTGGCCCAATTCTGTCATTAGTGGGGTTCAGAATGCTCTGTGATTGTAGGTGAACTATAAATCCTAGCAACTACAACTCCCAAATGTCAAGATTCTATTTTTCCCAAACTCCGTCAGTGTTCACATTTGGGCATATTGAGTATTCATGTAGAGTTTGGTCCAGATCCATCATTGTTTGAGTCCACAGTGCTCTCTGGATGTAGGTGAACTACAACTCCCAAACTCAAGGTCAGTGGCCACCAACCCCTTCCAGTATTTTCTGTTGGCAATGGGAGTTCTGTGTGCCAGGTTGGGTCCAGTTCCATTGTTCAGAATGCTCTCTGATTGTAGGTGAACTATAAATCTTAGGAACTACAACTCCCAGATGACAAAATCAATCCCTCTCCCAACCCCACCAGTATTCAAACTTGGGCATATTGGGTATTTGTGCCAAATTTGGTCCAGTGAATGAAAATACATCCTACATATCAGATATTTACATTACAATTCATAACAGCAGCAAAATTAGAGTTATGAATTTTGTGGTTAGGGACCACCACAACATGAGGAACTGTATTAAGGGGTCGCGTCATTAGGAATGTTGAGAACCACTGCTCCAGCCTATCTATCTGTCTATCTGTCCGTATATTTATCTATCTATGTATACTTCATTTACTGAGGATGGTGGCCCTCCAAGTGTAGTGTCTTGATGGTGTAAACATAAGTGACTGTGGAGATATATTCTTGATCTGCTGTTCTTCCGCAGTGAGGGCATTGGTTTCCAGGTGGAAGGCGGTCCCGGTCAGGGTTGGCTTGATGCGCCTTCCTCTTGGCATGTTTCTCTCTTTCACCCTCCATTTGTGCCTCTTCAAATTCTACAGCACTGCTGGTCACAGCTGACCTCCAGCTAGAGCGCTCAAGGGCCAGGGCTTCCCAGTTCTCAGTGCCTATGCCACAGTTTTTAAGGTTGGCTTTGAGCCCATCTTTAAATCTCTTTTCCTGTCCACCAACATTATGTTTTCCATTCTTGATTTGGGAGTATAGTAACTGCTTTGGGAGATAGTGATCAGGCATTCAGACAACATGACCAGTCCTCACTAATAGCATAGGAGCATCACTTCAGTGCTAGTGGTCTTTGCTTCTTCAGCACGCTGACATTTGTCCGCCTATTTTTTATTTATCATGTCAGGAGCAAACCAAACAGTTGTATTGCATTTTTTAACAAACAAACAAACAAAGCACAAAGTTTGCAAGCTTGGTATTCTATTAAATGTCATTTAACCAGTATCTTGCCACTTGGAGTGCCTCTGGGGTTGTAAGAAGGTCCTCCATTGTGCATGTGGCAGGGCTCAGGTTGCATTGCAGCAGGTGGTCAGTGGTTTGCTCCTCCCCACACTCGCATGTCGTGGATTCCACTTTGTAGCCCCATTTCTGAAGGTTGGCTCTGCATCTCGTGGTGCCAGAGCGCAGTCTGTTCAGCGCCTTCCAAGTCGCCCAGTCTTCTGTGTGCCCAGGGGGAGTCTCTCATTTGGTATCAGCCATTGATTGAGGTTCTGGGTTTGAGCCTGCCACTTTTGGACTCTTGCTTGCTGAGGTGTTCCAGCGAGTGTCTCTGTAGATCTTAGAAAACTATTTCTTGATTTAAGTCGTTGACGTGCTGGCTGATACCCAAACGGGATGAGCTGGAGATGTCTCTGCCTTGGTCCTTTCACTATTAGCTGCCACTTCCCATCGTGGTTCTGGGTTTGAGCCTGCCACTTTTGGCACAACATCAAGAAGGGTCTCATACAGGCATGGGCAAACTTTGGCAGCTAAAGTGAGGTTGAACTGCATTAATTGTAGTGTTACAAGAACCCCCTCTGCCAAAGTGTGATTGTGCCTCACCAAACTACAACTCCCAGAATTACATAGCATTGAGCCATGGCAGCTAAAGTGAGGTCGAACTGCATTAATGCTACAGGGTAGATACAAACTTTGGCCCTCCAGGATTCACTGTATGACTTCAACACCCACAATTCCTAACAGCATACCAAATTGTGGGAGTTAAAGTCCAAAACACCTGAAGGACCAAAGTTTGCATCTAACCTGTAGCATTAATGCAGTTCGACCTCACTTTAGCTGCCATGGCTCAATGCTATGTAATGCTGGGAGTTGTAGTTTGGTGAGGCACAATCACACTTTGGCAGAGGGGAATCTTGTAACACTACAATTCCCAAGATTCCACACATCGAGCCATGGCAGTTGAAGTGGTGTTGAACAGCAGTAGATGCAAACTTTGGTCCTTCAGGTGTTTTGGACTTTAACTCCCCGAAATCCCAGCTAGTTTACCAGTTTAGGAAGGGGCTGAAGCCGGAGGCGATGATGAAACCTTTCACTGTTTCACTATTGAAAGATTACTTTTTTTTTCTGTTCCAGGCAAAGATGGGAGGGTGAGTGTGAAGAAGGAAGAAATGTCAGATGCACCGGTTGACAACGTTCAGCATGGACACGAGGAGGGGAAAGCAGGGAAGAGGAAAGGCGCAGGGAGGAGAGGCCAAGCCAAGAAACACTTGCTTTGACAATCAATCCTTTCCCGGTTAGATGAAGAGAAAGCTCAGGGATCTGCCGAGTGTGAACAGACCTACTGCATGAATGCGCAGGAATCTCAAATACTTTGCACAGTAGAGAAGCTATATCAGTATTATATAGGGTGTGGAAAGCAGTTCGGTTCCTACGGTTGTGTGGTTTCACGTAAAAATAACCGCAAAGGGGAGAAACCGTATCAATGCCAGGAGTGTGGTCAGAGTTTCCGGCTGAAAGGTGAACTCATATCACGTCAAGGAACGCACCCGGGGGACAAACCGTACAAATGCTGTGAGTGTGGAAAGAGTTTTCCTGGGAAGACAGAGCTTATTAAAACTAATACTGTTTTGCCTTTGTGTTTATGTTCTGTTATTTCAAACAGGTATAATATACTTGCAGTGTTTTAATAGAAGGTCCCCCATGACCATCTGGCAAACAAACTAGTCAAATATGGGCTAGAAAAAATTATGGTTAGGTGGCTCTGTAATTGGTTAAGCCAGTGTTTCTCAACCTGGGGGTCGGGACCCCTAGAGGGGTCGCGAGGGGGTGTCAGAGGGGTCGCCAAAGACCATCGGAAAACACAGTATTTTCTGTTGGTCATGAGGGTTCTGTGTGGAAAGTTTGACTCAATTCTATGATTGGTGAAGTTCAGAATGCTCTTTGATTGTAGGTGAACTATAAATCCCAGCAACTACAACTCCCAAATGTCAAGGTCTGTTCTCCCCCAAACTCCACCAGTGTTCACATTTGGGCATATTGGGTATTTGTGCCAAGTTTGGTCCAGATCCATCATTGTTGTGTATTCAAAGCTTCATTTTGTTGTTGTTGTTGTTCAATCGTTCAGTCGTCTCCGACTCTTCGTGACCTCATGGACCAGCCCACGCCAGAGCTCCCTGTCGGCCGTCACCACCCCCAGCTCCTTCAAGGTCAGTCCAGTCACTTCAAGGATGCCATCCATCCATCTTTCCCTTGGTCGGCCCCTCTTCCTTTTACCTTCCACTTTCCCCAGCATAATTGTCTTCTCTAGGCAACTCATTGTTTGAGTCCATAGTGCTTTCTGTAGGTGAACTACAACTCCCAAACTCAAGGTCAATGCCCACCAAACCCTTCCAGTATTTCCTGTTGGTCATGGGAATTCTGTGTGCCAACTTTGGTTCAATTCCATCATTGGTGAAGTTCAGAATGCTCTTTGATTGTAGGTGAACTAAAATCCCAGCAACTACAACTCCCAAATGACAAAATCAATCCCCCACCCAATCCCACCAGTATTCAAATGTGGGTATATCGGGTATTTGTGCCAAATTTGGTCCAGTGAATGAAGATATCCTGCATATCAGATATTTACATTGCGATTCATAACAGTAGCAAAATTCCAGTTATGAGGTAGCAGCAAAAATAATATTATGGTTGGGGGTCACCACAACAGGAGGACCTGTACTAAGGGGTCTCGGCATTAGGAAGGTTGAGAACTACTGGGTTAAGCGAACGAATCAAGGGGGTGATTCTCCCCAAGGCTTCCTCTTCATCCTGGAAAGAAGTCACGAGTGGCGTCCCTCCTGGGCCCGGTCCTGTTGAGGGTCTTGATTCATGACTTACACCAGGGGTCCTCAAACTAAGGCCCGAGGGACAGATACGGCCCTCCAAGGTCACTACCCGGCCCTCACTCAGGGTCAACCTAAGTCATAGGTAAAGGTAAAGGTTTTCCCTTGACATGAAGTCCAGTCATGTCTGACTCTGGGGTGTGGTGCTCATCTCTATTTCTAAGCCGAAGAGCCAGCGTTGTCCGTAGACACCTCCAAGGTCATGTGGCCGGCATGACTGCATGGAGCGCCGTTACCTTCCCGCCGGAGCGGTACCTATTCATCTACTCACATTTGCATGTTTTTGAACTGCTAGGTTGGCAGAAGCTGGGGCTGACAGCGGAAGCTCACGCCACTCCCCGGATTCGAACCTGTGACCTTTTCATCAACAAGCTCAGCAGCTCAGTGCTTTAACCCACTGCGCCACAGCGGGCTCCAACCTAAGTCTTAAACAACTTGAAAGCACACAATTACCTTGGGAAGTCTGACTTGGCCACGGTGGTCCATGCTTTGGTTACATCCCGTTTAGATTACTGCAACACTCTCTACGTGGGGTTGCCTCTGAAGACTGCCCGGAAGCTGCAGCTAGTCCAACGCTCGGCAGCCAGACTACTAACGGGTGCTGGGTACAGGGAGCACACCACTCCGCTGTTACAACAGCTCCACTGGCTGCCAATTAGCTTCCGAGCACAATTCAAAGTGCTGGTGTTAACCTATAAAGCCCTAAACGACTCCGGCCCTGTTTACCTCTCCGAACGTATTCTCCCCTATGAACCATCAAGATTATTAAGATCGTCTGAAGAGGCCCTGCTCTCGGTCCCACCGGCCTCGCAAGCGCGTCTGGTGGGGACGAGGGACAGGGCCTTCTCGGTGGTGGCCCCTCGACTCTGGAACTCTCTCCCACTGGAGATCAGAACCGCCCCCTATCCTGACATTCAGGAAACAGGTGAAGACGTGGTTATGGAGACAGGCATTCGACGAGTGAGCCAACACCCTGAGATATGGATGGAGGATGATGAACAACGATTTTAGTGTGACGACTGACCATTGTAGTTATTGAATGTAATTGCTGTTTTAATGTTTTATTGTAATATGAATTATGATGTTTTATTGACTGTATGTGATATTATGGTTGGAAACCGGTCTGAGTCCCTCAAGAGAGGTGAGAAGGTCGGTATATAAAACTTTTAAATAAATAAATAAATACATAAACGACAACAATCCTATTGTCGAAGGCTTTCATGGCCGGAATCACTAGTTTGTTGTAGGTTTTTTCGGGCTATATGGCCATGGTCTAGAGGCATTCTCTCCTGACATTTTGCCTGCATCTATGGCAAGCATCCTCAGAGGTAGGGAGGTCTGTTGGAAGTAGGAAAAAGGGTTTATATATCTGTGGAATGACCAGGGTGAGACAAAGGACTCTTGTCTGCTGGAGCTAGGTGTGAATGTTTCAACTGACCACCTTGATTAGCATATAATGGCTTGACAGTGCCTAGAGCAAACTTTTCATGTCACCTGGGTTGTTTATTTATTTATTTATTTATTTATTTACTGCATTTGTTGACCGCCGTTCTCAGCCCTAGGGCGACTCACGGCGGTGTACAACATATAAAAACAGTTTACAATAAAGCAATAACACAACAAAATATCAACATAACTATCAATGTATAACAATAATATAACTACACTAAATCATCCGCGCCGTCTCATCATAGAATCGTAAACCAATCTCGTAATCCGTATTCCGTTCCAGTCGTCATTGCCAATTGTCGTAGCACTTAGTTAAACGCCTTCTCAAATAACCATGTCTTTAGGCTCTTGCGGAATGACATAAGGGAGGGCGCCTGTCTGATGTCTACAGGGAGGGTGTTCCACAGCCGGGGGGCCACCACCGAGAAGGCCCTATCTCTCGTCCCCGCCAGACGTGCCTGTGAGGCAGGCGGGATCGAGAGAAGGGCCTCCCCAGACGATCTCAAGGTCCTCGTGGGCTCATAGGCCAAGATGCGGTCTGAAAGGTATTTTGGGCCGGAACCGTTTAGGGCTTTGTAGGCCAACACCAGCACCTTAAATTGGGCCCGGTAGCAGATCGGCAGCCAGTGGAGCTGGAACAACAAGGGCGTTGTGTGCTCCCTGCGTCCCGCTCCTGTTAGTAACATGGCTGCCGCGCGCTGGACTAGCTGAAGCTTCCGGGCCGTCTTCAAGGGCAGCCCCACGTAGAGAGCGTTGCAGTAGTCAAGGCGGGATGTGACCAGAGCGTGTACCACCATGGCCAAGTCAGACTTCCCGAGGTACGGGCGCAGCTGGCGCACGAGCCTAAGCTGTGCAAATGCTCCCCTGGTCACCGCTGAAACCTGGGGATCCAGGCTCAACGATGAATCCAGGATCACACCCAAGCTGCGAACCTGCGCCTTCAAGGGGAGTGCGACCCCATCCAGCACAGGCTGTAACCCTATACCCTGTTCGGCCTTGCGACTGACCAGGAGTACCTCTGTCTTGTCTGGATTTAGTTTCAGTTTGTTCGCCCTCATCCAGACCGTCACAGCGGCCAGGCACCGGTTCAGGACCTCGACAGCCTCCTTAGTAGCAGGTGGAAAGGAGTGACAGGTTGGACATCATCTGCGTACAGATGACACCGCACCCCGAAACTCCGGATGATCTCACCCAGCGGCTTCATGTAGATATTAAACAGCATGGGGGACAGTATAGAGCCCTGTGGAACCCCACAGGTCAAAGGCTGTGGTGTTGAACAGGAGTCCCCCAATAACACCTTCTGGGTACGACCCTCCAGAAATGACTGGAGCCACTGCAAAACAGTGCCTCCGAGACCCATTTCCGCAAGGCGCCCCAGAAGGATACCGTGGTCGACGGTATCGAAGGCCGCTGAGAAGTCCAGAAGCACCAACAGGGACACACTCCCCCTGTCGAGCTCCCGGCGCAGATCATCCACTAAGGCGACCAAGACCGTCTCGGTTCCATGTCCCGGTCTGAAACCAGACTGTGCCGAATCCAGATAATCCGTGTCTCTCAAGAATACCTGGAGTTGTGAGGCCACCACGCTTTCCATGACTTTGCCCAAAAAGGGGAGATTGGAAACAGGCCGAAAGTTGTCAAATTTAGTGGGGTCCAATGATAGTTTCTTCAACAGCGGTTTTATAACTGCTTGTTTTAAGCACGCTGGAATCTTGCCTTCCCGAAGGGAGGCATTAACCACCACCGTTACCCACTCAGCCAATCCCCCTCTGGCCTCCTTCAGAAGCCAGGATGGGCAGGGGTCTAGGATGGAAGTGGGCCTCTTGATTAGCATATCTGTGGAATGGCCAGGGTGGGACAAAGAACTCTTGTCTGTCCAAATTTGGTGTCAATTCCCCCAGGGTTTTTTGAGTTCTGTGAATAGCACAAACGAACGTTACATTTTTATTTATGCTAGCCGTTCCCTGCCACGCGTTGCTGTGGCCCTCTCTGTTGGTCATGGGGGTTCTGTGTGGGAGGTCTGGCTCAATTCTATCATTGGTGGGGTTCAGAATGCTCTTGGATTGTAGGTGAACTATAAATCCCAGCAACTACAACTCCCAAATGTCAAGATTCTATTTTCCCCAAACTCCACCAGTGTTCACATTTGGGCATATGAGTATTTGCGTAGAGTTTGGTCCAGATCCATCGTTGTTTGAGCCCACAGTGCTCTCTGGATGTGGGTGAACTACAACTCCAAAACCAAAGGACACTGCCCATTAAACCCTTCCAGGATTTTTTGTTGGTCATGGGAGAACT